ATCTGGACATTATCACACTGAGTCTCTCGGAAAAAGTCTACTAAAAAGTGTTGCAAAAGAAATGCCGCCGAATAACTGACTCAAAGATACAATAAGAACAGTGTGGCTTCAGGTCAGGCCGGATTTTCGTCTTACGCCAGGTTATATGGAAATCGTGGGAATTCGCCCATCCGGAGTACATGTGCCTTGTTGACCTAGAAAAATCCTATGAAGTATCCCGCGCAAAGGTCTGTAGTCACGCCTGCGAAAATACGGGATCGATAACAATTTGCTACGGGCCATCCAATTATTGTATTCTGATAGCAGCTTCTGTGTTAAGTCGAAACCACTCAATGTCCGCACTGGTCTCCGCCAAGGCTGCGTCCTGTCCCCTATCCTGTACATGGATAGAATAGTCAGGAGCTGCCAAGGCGATGAAGGTATCGGTGTAGGAGATGTGAAGTCGAGAAGGTTGCTGTTTGCAGACGACCTTGTTTTATTAGCATCTTCCGAAACTGACCTTCAGTGCTCCCTAGAAAGGTTCGCAGCCGAGTGCGACGTAGCCGACATGAGTGTGAGCGTACCTAAAACGAAAAGTTGTGTGGCTTCTCGCTCTTCTGTCCCTGCTCTCTTCAAATAAAAGAAGAAGCAGTAGAGGAGGTGGAGAATTTCAAGTACCTCAGGTTCGTATATACTGGTGAAAGAAAATCCGAGGAAAAGATCAACCGGCGGATTGGAGTAGCAAATAGCGTTCTGCGTTAACTTACCCAAACCACTGTGACTAAAGCAGCGCTGAGTCTGAAGACTAAGCTCTTGATGTTCAAGTCGATCTTCATCCCTATGCTCATCTATGGTTATGGTGGAAAGGCCATGACTGGAAAACTTCGATTCCAGGTACAAGCGACTGATATAGGAATATTAGACGCACTGCGGGCCTTCTGCATCTCGACATGGTCCGGAATACAGAAATACGCGAGAGCCTTGGTACACAGCTCGTTTCTTCAGACTGAGAAGTCACAGCTGTGATGGTTTGGACACGTGTGGCGAGTGTCATCAGAAAGGAAGACTAAACAACTACTTCTTGCCCAACCGAACGGTAGACGACCCAGGGGATGGCCAAGATGCATGGAACACGCAAATGTATGGAAGAAATCTGCTTTAGACTCCGGCTGTCTTCTGCCGAAGCTCAGCCTGTAGCTCAGGATCGGGAACGTTGGAAGCACTGTCTGACGTGTCTCCCTTCACGACCCCCCGAAAGGAGAAGCGGTCATCGAAATTGACTGACTGACAAAAAAGCCTTTAGGCCATGTTATAATGGTTTAGAAGTCGAGAAAAGGTGAATAGTTGACAGAACACTGATGGAATGTAAACATGATCGAACGAAAAATTACCAATGTCAATTCCGAAAATCTGGTCGTCAGCGTCAGGGGCAAATTTGTTTTCCTTGACGATGTCTTCGAGCCACAAAATATAATTCAGGCGAAGAGGAACACGAGGGACAAGGGAATCCAAAGGGAAATCAACTTCCAAATCGAAATCCTTCTTCAACAATGCCAACGTCAAAGCTCTGACGGCCTGCGGATCTTTGAAATCGAGCGTCAGCTATAAGCGCATTAACGCCAATCAACAAACAACTTGCCATTTAAATGGCCAAAACAATTAAAAATAAACATTAGATCTCTGCAAGCACAAGCAGCAGCTTGTCCACTTAGGCAGATACTCAAAGCATACTTCGATACCAAAATATTTCAATATTTAATAATTCACCACTTTCTCAACTCATTCAGTTGCTTTTATTGATTTCTACCTTACAAACTCCATGTATTCCAGTCAGTTCAGAATCGATAATGCGTGCGTTTGAAAAAATAAATAAAGTAATTGTTTTCAAACCAGATGAGATTATGATCACGTTTGACGACGACCAATGCACAAAATAAATGCAGACGAAGTTGTCCATAAATTGCACGAAAAACTAACTTTCCTGCACTACTCAAAAGAGTAGACAATTTCTTGCCGAAAAACAAGGGCTATCACAGTCAAGCTAATTACAGAAAAAACCAGTGCCTGAAGAAAATCTCGACAGCGGCTTTTCATCACATTTTCTTCGGACACAGTTTCGATCTTACCGCCAAGCAACAATAGTTAACAACCGTTGCCAGCTACAAAGAACCGTTAGTTGCCGAAGCACTCCTAATTCAAACAAGTTTCAAACTGGTGAATAGACGTGGGGACATGCACATCTCTCTGGTATGGCGAAACTTATGTAAACTTTCGACAAAAAGAAAAACAACTATGATTAATAACATAACAATCTTGTACTACCGTAGAGGTGTATAGTGCTCACAGTGGATAAAGGCTGGTTTTATCAGCCGAAACCTTGGTCCTGCGCTAAAAAAAGTTTAAGCCGTGTGTATTACTAATGTAATCTTAACATCTTTCTCCTGAATCAGCCCACAATGTAAGACACCTATATGCATATCTCTTTAAACACATTGCAAATGGCCCACTGGAGAGGCACTGCGAAACACGCAAATGTTAATCTCAGATTTTCACATTGCTGGCCGCACTTTGCACATATTGATAGTAATTTTTGGTGAAACCGTTTCGTGCCGACAGCAACGACGATTGCTTAAGCAAATAAACCTGATTGACTGAATGTGACACGTTTGTTTTTTTACAATTTATTTTATGTAGATGCTTCAGTGAATGAGTATCATTAAAAAAATAAGTTAAGGAACAAAAAATACAACCATTTAAGAAGTTTGCTGTTTGGCGTTCGTCCGCATTTCATGACACTGCTTTGCGCACTGAGTTTCTGTACCATTTTTGCTCCTCTTGATGCTCAGGTTAAAATGCATATCATGTTTCACCAAGATTCTGGCCCGGTTAGAAACGTGGCAACGAGTTTACACACTACTACGATCAGGTTCTTGGTTTCCCCATTGCTTTCGACAGCAACTGGATTGGATCTGCAACAAAAACGTACTTGGCCCTGCTGGTGCGGAACTCTGTTCGCAATAGCAAAGTGGAGAGGTCTGTACGGTACTTACTCTCAGAGCTAGGTATAACTGTCTGACAAAATCCATCGACGCTTCAAAACAGAAAGGTAATTGATAGTAGAAAAGATTCTATTCAAAAGCACGTAGCGTGTAACGTCGGTCGCACGAAGAGATCGGATTTCAAACGGACTTGCCAACCTTTCTAATCGCTTCTATCACAGTGACTGAGGCTTCATCGATGCGTAGGTCAAACCTTGACCCTCTCCCTCTTCTCCCGTGGTGGAAATCGCATGCTGTGTGACTGTGGATAAGATCTTTTCTCTTATCGAGATGTTCCCTACAGCTACAAGTTACTTTGATCCGATACAGTAAGATAATACGCGGACAGCTCGAATGAACTGATAACTATACATGCAAGACCATGGGAAAAACTACTACACTGCACTTGAAAGCTGTTCAGTTCTGCTTATGTCATTCATTGTCAACCCATCATCCCAGTATCTTAATTTATGTAATATCCTGTCAGAGCCCCAAGCGAATAAACACAACAATACGCATATATCATTGAATACCAGATAACAAAACGGAACTTAATATACAAACGTTGTTGTAACAAAGCTTTAAGGGTTAATGAAGGAAAAAACGGAAACGAGATTAAAAAATCGGTAGGTTTGACAAGATTTTCCTTTGGTACGAAAAAACTACGCAAATAATAGCCGCCATCACGAAAAACAGTATGTTTCAAGATATTACAAACATTATTAAGCTGTAGAATTTGCACAACATTATATGGATTTTTGAATTGTTAGAGAGACAAAAAAGAAGACAGTATGACTGAATGCCACTTCAACCCTTATTATTTCAGTATTGCCAAAGGAAAGACCTATATTGTGTATTTAAGAAATACGAACTCTTAAAGTAAACTTTTTAATGGCATTCAATTACTTCTGAAAAAGAAACTGATGACGGCGATAAAAGTTTTGAAACGATGATCATGATGAATAAGAAAATGGTCACGTCCAGGATGACACTTATAATGATGACGATGATCATTATGAGGGTGATGTCGATAACGATGACACTAATTATACTGCCGCTGATTATGATTACTGTAGCATTAAAATTATGACAACGATAAGGATGATATCGATGTCAAAACGATGATGATGGAGATGGGCTCGGTAAATATGGCAGTGATGAGACGATGACGCCGATGGTAATCAAGAAGGTGGTAAGGATAATGAATAAAAACAACATAACTATGACAGGCATGACAGTATTTATAACAGGTACAAAAACAGGTACGACTACAATGATGATGAGACAG